TATATATAGTTCGTCTCTCTCCACTCTTTGCCCTCTCTTGCTCTCCTCTCTCCTCTCTCCCAATCTCGCGCACTCCTCCCTCTAACATGTAGCTATGTATCGTAATTAGCAAACTATGGCTATGAAGCGTAATTAAATTATTTTTTAGTGGCTATATACGAAAATTATAAAAAAAAACAAAACAAGTCATTAAAAATAGAAGACTATATACACTCATCACCAATGGAGACCCATAGGTTACAGACCCATAGGTTACACATGTTGATGTATATGGTAGGGTCTATCTGCTGTGAAAAATGGAAAGGGACTATATGCTGTGCACACATCTCAAGTCTGAGTGGAATAAGAAATATGAAATGCATGGGGAGTATTTTTTATTTTTTTATTTTTGGAATAAGACACATGAACCTTCTTGAATTACTCGGAAATTATTAGTTACACATCTGAATTATATAAAGTTTATCACTATAGTATCTATTTTTGTGAGCTTGCTTGATCTGTTTAATTGAAACCTTATAATGCAATCATATTATCTAATCCAATTGCTATTTTTGTTTATATATTTCTGATTTATGCACTTGGTTAACTTGTGGTGTCTATTAAGATATATAATGTTATTGCACAATCAAATGCACTTTTATATTTACGAAATTTCCTCATTCATTTTGATATGGTTACAAATTATTTTTGATATTTTGCATAGATTTTCTTTATATATTTGTAAAGTTGTCTTACATGTCTTCAAGAATGTACTTGTATTCGAAATCAACATCCAATAATTTTGTAGATAAACAATAAAATTGATCGCTACTGCTATTAGTGATAGATTAGGGGGAAAGGATAGGGCATAAGAACACCCTTTCAGAACTATAATAAAATTGTCAGTTATATATTTAAACTCTATGAGGGTTCTATTACTTTCTTGAGTTTAATTTTTCAGTATTATTTACATCTCTAAATTATGTAAGGGTCTTATTATTCACGAGGTGGTGATAAGGTCTGCGTACACTCTACATTCTCCAAACTCCACTTATGACACAGTTCACTGAATATATTATTGTTATGTCAATGTATATAAATATAAATTCAAAATAGTAAGAATTTATTTTATATACACCGATTTACACTATTGATTTAATTTAAGTAAAAATTACGTCAATCTCACAGTGTTAAGAGCTAATTACATCTTATTCCTATTCTTTCTCAAATTACAAGGATCTTGGATACATCAGGAAACTTGCTGATACATAGCTCAACGATTGCGAATGATACATTACTTAATAGGATGGATGTATCCGAGAGGGGATAGTAATGCATCCGAGAGGGGAGAGATGTATCCGAGAGGAGATAGTAATGCATCCGAGAGGGGAGAGATGTATCCGAGAGGAGATAGTAATGCATCCGAGAGGGGAGAGATGTATCCGAGAGGAGATAGTAATGCATCCGAGAGGGGAGAGATGTATCCGAGAGGAGATAGTAATGCATCCGAGAGGGGAGAGATGTATCCGAGAGGAGATAGTAATGCATCCGAGAGGGGAGAGATGTATCCGAGAGGAGATAGTAATGCATCCGAGAGGGGAGAGATGTATCCGAGAGGAAATAATGTTGTATCAGAAAATTTATATGTTTCTAGAGTAAACCAATTTGTTTGCAAGAAGCAATGGCTCCATCATACATATCTTCAAGACTGTACTTGTATTTGAAACCTACATCCAACAATTTTTTCGAACAAGGGCAAGGACACTTAAATGCTTTTGTCACCTTCAAACAACTGCAATAAATTGAAAAAACTCAATAATTTACACTTGTATATATGTACATTAAATACTTATAGCAACATAATTATTGAGTGCGTTAAAATCTTAAACGACAGATAAAAATAATCGAACGAAACTTACTCAATAGATGGAATTTGGTATTGAGGATATCTAGCTCTTAGAAAATGAGATAATTCATCTGGAGTTTTATTTGCATTACAACAAATGTACCTCCCTTTAACTTTAGTAGATTCCAAAAGAAATATGTGAGTTCGAGCAACATCATCCACGTGGACCAATGCGATAACGCCAGAATCATATTCTATATTTGTCCAATTACCTACAAATTTAATATGACAAATATGTTATACTCAAGTCGAGGGGTGAACCAATGCGATAACGTTAGAATCATATTCTATATTTGTCCAATTACCTACAAATTTAATATGACAAATATGTTATACTCAAGTCGAGGAGTCTTTTAAAAACAGTTTCTTTACGTATCTTCTCTACCTCCACGAGGTGATGATAAAGTCTGCATACACTTTACCTTCTTATTTAGGTTTAGGATCGATCTTCCATAAAGTATAAATTCATAATAGTAAGAATTTATCTTATATCCATTAAAAGCGTAAATAAATTTTCACTTTATATCAATACAATTTAACTTACTTATTTTTCAGGGTAACTAATAATTTCACATATTTTAGATATAGTTAAATTTCATTATCTTCATGACATAATAATATAATAAGTATTAGATAACTTTTTACACTATCATTATCCTATATATAAAACATGGATAAAGAAAAATATATATATAAAAAAAACTAAATGACATCTCGACAAAAGAGGACTGAAAACCATAAGGCAAGCATCAAAGCACTAGCACAAATTGCTCCCATAGACACATGATAAATGGTGCAGGGATCACCACTTTTACCAGATATAAGTCAGGACGACCCAAGAACCCGCCACTAGAATCCAACCCTTAAGAGGCTAAGGTCCAAGAGGCTACCGTAGGAAATAAGCTTCATCTGTAACCTTAAGAAATATAGAAATTTACCCGAAATTTCTAGAGTAATGAAGAAAAAGTGATAGAAAGATTACCTAGAATCATGGCCATGTTGTGAAGAACAATTATTGGGCATTGAGGAGTAACAAATGGGCCAAAAACCCAAGCATGATTAACACACACAAGATCCAATCCATTTTTGTGTGCAAAATTTAGTGCTTCTTTTTCTATTAAAGTCTTACTTATACAATAAAAAGCCCCTAAAGGATTCATCTTTTTGATAAAATCTATATCACTCCAAAAACTTTCATCTACTACATTTGGACCCCCTTCAATAAAACCAATTGTACCATCACTTGAAGTATATATGACTCGTTTTATTGTTTTCGAATCTAAACATGCCTTCAAAATGCCTAAAATTCCATCGATGGATCGTTGAATTTTCCTCTCCTCATCGTCGTATTTATCCTCGAAATCAACAGAGTGACCAATTATGACACCATTGCACCCTTCAATTGCTGGATTATAGCTTGCATGATCTTCATGATTTGTTGTGAAAATTTTAAGTTTTTGTGATGCATTTGGTAATTTCTTCAAAAAACTTGCTCTTTCTGATAACATAACAATGCATGTTCCAATTAGTTCACATAACATGGAAGAAAATTAGACTTTGGTACCATGGAAAATGTTTTCATAAAAAATAAGTGATTTTTCCAGAGTTAATTATTAATGGTCAAACACGTATCCAAACTATCAAAGTTTTGCAGTAATTGCATACTCTTAACTAACAGTTGTTTCTTTTTTCTACTTGGATTATAATCATCTATGTATTAAAACACACCTCGAAGCTGACTAGAACAACTATTCATTATTCCCTTTTTCTACATGCATTATCACCATCAACTCAACTAGGTATGTTTTAATACATAGATGATAATAGTTCAAATAGAAAAAGAGAACAGTTGATAGCTGAGATACAAAATTTACGGAAAAAATGTGATTTTATCATTATCTCATTTTTTTAACAGATAGAATTCACTTGGAACTCTATTAAGATCAAGAGTTAAATAAATATGAGACAATTTACTAATAACAAGAAACATACATACCTTCATCCATGTTATTATTAATTGTGGTATTAACATAATAGCCAGATTGAAGTAGCCTCATTATCAACCAAGATGTTACATAACCTGTTCCACCAGTTACACATACAATTCCCTTCTCATTAATCTTCTCCATTATTTATTTTTTTGAAAAATAAATAAATAGATCTCTTTGCTTTTCTTTCTTTTCTCTTTTCCTTAATATATGAAGTATATTTGTGTGTGTATAAATATCAGTAGGTAATATATTGTTTACTCTTTTGATTTGGTGGGTAAAGTGTCACTATATATATTATTGTCTTTTTCTTTATTGTTATTTTATATAAACATTTTTCTAAAATTAGTATTGTTTGTCTTGTATGGTAGGCCTAATATAATAAAGAAAAGAAAAAGAATGTATCCCTAACTAATTGGTATAAAATATTTAATACAAAACTTGTCAATATATAAACAGTTCATTTGATTCTTAGATTATGCTGCCATAAGAAATAATTGAAAGCTATTCATATGGTACAAAGTTCTATCACTTAATTATTTGATTAATCAATGCATATTTGCATTGTCAGTAAGTAGAGCAATTAATCCTTTTTTTATAATCGAGAAATCTATCTGGACCCCTCCTCGTTCTCACCGAGCCTGATTCTATATGGCATGGATGTCTTTGATTGGCTAGAGACGAATATATAAAGTGTGTAGGACCCACTACAAACTTCAAAACTCGGAGATACTGAGTCGCCCTTTTATCCTTCTCTACTTAAATATGAGGTTTAGTTCACATAGCACAAGACTCAAACATATGTGAGATCTGATCTAAGTCAAGTCCTGGGGACAACTTAAATTTCTTTTTTTTCATAATAGTGATAACAGCATAAGTGAACAGAATGGGAGAACATAAATCAACCAATAAATAATTATATTAGACACTTGAAAATAATACTTACCATATGCTAATACTGTTATACATAAAAAATATTCAAATATCTAGCTTCTGCATTATGTCAAAACAACCAGTACCCATCTTTACTGGCAACCCTAAGCAAATTCTGGAGGATGGTGTCTCCAAGTTGTCAGTTAAACCATGAGCTGCTGCTTCGACTATGAATTTTGAAGCCGTTTCAAACGACATCTTAAGGAACGGTGACAAAGACTCGGATATGCTTCCATGTCTGCTCATTGGCTGGTATCCACCCGTATGGGTCATGAAGTCGGCTATTAGACTCAAATGTCGAAAATCAATCTCCACCCCATAGATACCGAAAACAGTTTTGACCTCTCTTAAGATTGATGCCCGGGCAGCTTCAACACCATAGGTGTTCAGCATAGCACGAATATTATTCGTGTATATACGAGTAACATCAAGGTCATCTTGCATTTCCCAGAAGGTACCAAAATCCACTCCAGCTGCTTTCAGGGCCCAATAAGCAGAATCAGAATCTTGGCTTTGCTGCTTTGTTTGATATTCATCCCACATCACAGTATTTTCAGTTACTTCATACTTGACCATTCTGCATTGGTCGATTTTACCAGAGTTCTTAATATACACTTTCTTTGCAGTCTTTTGGGCAACCTGCATGAGTTAGACATTTAGATAATATGCCAGGGCAGTGCCAAGTAGAACACTTGGTAAAACAAGGAGTATTATGGACCAATGAATTTCAAAGCAAACAATTTGCCAGTGGTGCATAGAGATCAGAAAGAAAATAACATTTGTACAATAAAGTTTCAGTTGATCAACTCATAGTCTACTCGAAATAAGCTAGCTGAAGCCTGAAGGATAACTAAATGGTGTGTAGTGCATAGCGAAGTGCTCAATGAAGTGCGGAATAAAGAAAAGCATGTAAGAACATAAAAGGAAGGTAGTTCTACGACTTTCTTTAGGTAATCACTGGAAGAGGAACAAAATTGATTGAAGATTACCTGAGCTAACAAGATATGAGGTTCATTGACGAATCTAAAGTGGACCTCAAAATGCAGTCCCTCCACATCAACAAAGACACACCTATCCGAATCCTTTTTGCTACGTCTTTCTTTCTTTTTATTCTGTTTGACAGTTGTTTTGGTCTTGGTCTTTGACTTACTAGATTTGGTATTTGATATGTCGTCTTCCGTAGACTGTAACTTAGACATCTGCTCTTCATTGCCACGGTTTCCAATTTCTTCTTCGTCACCATTATCAATCTCATCTGTTTGTTCACTTTTCTCATCTTCAATTTCTGCAGTGGTCTCAGCTTCATCTTCATTTTCATCATCATCATAATCCATCTCATCTGTGGTTTGCTGTTTCCTTTTTTGTGCGTCTGAACTGAGATCTTCAGTTCTTTCATCCTCATCCTCATCATCCAGCATCTCTTCTTCATGTCTGGTGCTAGAAGCATTTTCTTCAGTTTCATCTGAATCCACTGATTCCGAGCTTGTCTTGAAGTTCTGTATGCCATTAATTTTAGAGAGCAAGGCCAAATGACTTTCTATTGCATCCTCCAACTCCCTTAAGAACACAAATTTTAGGGTATACTCGCAATCTTCTGATGACACAAAATCATGCTTCTTGAGCTTCACTGTGAGCTTGTATAGTTGAGAAACTTGATGGTTGTAGATTGATAATGGCAAAAGCTTGACCTCCATACTCTCAATCATATCTGCCACAGTGATCTTCTTCACTTTTGCCAAAAGAGACTGGGCATCATTCCTGAAGATCATTTGAAACTTTTAGGTTTTGCAACAGATTTCAAGAAAGTGTTGTTAAGAAAGACTACATAGAATCATTATCCATGAGAAACAGCAAGAAGTCATTATATTGCCAATGTGGAGTAAAGACCTATTAGCTCAAACAGATTCAAATGAAAAGTCAATACTTTTCCACATCTCGAAACAATGAAGAGATTGTTGGAGAGTTCAACTTACTTTGATTGCCAGCCGAGGAAGGGGCACGTCAAGATGGGAGTCTTAATAGCCTCAGAGGCAGTCATCAGAATCTCCTGAAGACGTGGAATTCCAAGAGTCACATTCATTTCTCCACGGCCCGCAAGATGAAAAGTGTTCAGTCTGAAAATGAGAACAACATTTAATACTTTGAGTTTGCATTTGAATGAGTGGATTTCAAAACATTGTGTATCTGAAAAATCTAGCCTGATCTTCAATATTTAGGCAAAACACATGTTCCAACAAGATACATTATTCCTTGAGATGTAAGCACAATATTCGAGAAGTTTCATTTATGACTCGGTGCATTCAGTATCTTTTGTTCCGTCTCGCTTTGCCTTTTGATATCAATTTTAACTAATTTTCACCAGAATTCATCAACAGCAGCAGTACTTTTGAACACATTTTTACTGTGACAGTAATTAGCAAGTAAGCGAAAGAATTAGGCTGACTCGGCAGAATTTGCAAGAAGTTGAAAGACCAAGCTTCAAGACTTTTTGAACGACTAAGCTTCAAGACTTAGAACAACTAAGCTTCAAGACTGAAATGCATCAATACTGACGTACAAAATCCTCAATCATAACGAACCATTTTAATATTAGACTAGCTCGGATCATAGCAAGCCACAATAATTCAAGCAAGTGTATCTGAAATGCATCAATTTAACTGACATAGACAGGTCCCAGGAGACCTTGAAAATAGGACCTGCAGAGTGGTCAGAGATCCAAAACAACAAGAAAATAACAGGGACATTCATTTTCTGTGATTAGTAAGAATAAAGCAGAGGCAAGATGGACAGCCAAAAAACATGCAACAATGGACGAAGTAGAAGATACTATGCAAGTACTAAACAGGAATACTGCTAGTAAGGAGAAGGGAAAAAGAAGATTAGCCCCTGTCTCTCTCACATAAATGTGCTACAACGCTCCTCAACCTATTAACCTTTTACCCTAATCCTGCAGCTCCAACCTTCATATCTAGGGTCATGTCCACAGTGTGTCATGTCTTGCCGAATCACCTACTCCCATCCCCATTCCACCTTGTATTTCTTTGGCGTACCTCTACCTCTCCTGACATCCACTATCGCCAACCTCTCACACCTCCTCACGGTGCATCTGCATACCTACTCGTCACGTGCCCGAACCATCTCAGCCTAACTTCCCTCATCTTATCCTCCACGGCGGTCACTCCCACCTTGCCCCGAATAGCTTCGTTCATCTCTCTCCTAGTATGCCCACATATCCATCTGAGCATCCTCATCTCCACTACCTTCATCTCTGAACCTGTGTATTCTTGACTGCCCAATACTCAACCCCATGCAACAAAAACAGGTCTAATCACCACTCAGTAGAATTTACCCTTAAGCCTTGGTGACACATTCTTATCTCACACAATCTCTGAAGCAAGCCTCCATTTCACCCGCTCTGCTCCAATACGGTGTGTGACATACTCATCTGTCTCCCCGTTACCTTGAATAACAGGCCCAAGATACTTGAAACTGCTTCTCCTGAGTATATCTTGTGTATCAATCTTCACTTCCACCACTGCCTCACGTGCTATGTCACTGAACTTGCACTCTAGGTACTCAAAGTTGAAGTACGGCCATAGTTACTTATTTCATAGACCTATTTTCTACAAGAGCACAATACTGGAGAAAAATGCCTAAAACTCAAGGAATGATTGTTACAGTAACATGACATTTTGATCTGAAGACCTTAATTTCATTTTTTCTTTGGCATCACAGATTAGCATTTTCATTAAGAGATACCAATCCGTTCGTATTTCCATCTCACCGTGGTCCAAAAGTACTTAACACAACAGAGTAAATGACATACTTAGAGAAGAAACAAGAAGTATATTGTCTTACGTCATTTGGGTTGAAGGTTCACCTACTGACTGACCAGCAAGGACACCAACTGGCTCTCCTGAATCTGCCAGACTTGAGAAGTATTTTTGCCTCACTAGTTCTAGAAAGTCCGCCTCCTCCTCTTTCAGTTGCTTCACCATCTCTTCCTTTTTCACTAGCTTCCCTAATTTCTTCTCTAACTTTTTTGTCCTTTTCTCCCAGAAGTGCTTCACTTTTTCTTCCAGGCCATCAGGCAATTTCTCAATATACGAATTGAGCTTGCGTCCGTGACGCAACTTTTGGCAAATGGTTTCTTGATTCTAAACATCAAAAAATGGATAAATGAGTTAAGGCATAGAGGATACAGTTTA